AACAGGTTTCGAGCTTCCGCTTTCGGCGAGCGGCCTAGTGCCGCTCGTCCGGCCAACTTTTTCATTTTTTTCCTTTTCTTCTAGTTTTTTTTTTTTTTTTAAATGCTCTTCCATCAATTTTTTTTTCCTTGTCATCAATATGTCCTTTTGGAAAACTATGAATTTCTGAATCCGCAGAAAGTACTTTGGTACCAAAATCTCCCTTTACTACTTTAGAAGACAAATTACTCCATAATTTTCCTGAAGCAGACATCTCCAGTGATGGGGCAACATCATCACATGCAGACAAAACCTTGGCTATAGGCCCAATAAAAAGAATAGCATATTCCAACGCTGAGAATTCTCAGGAAGCAGGTATTGCCAATTCATTGTCGACACAAAATCTCTCATCATAGTCGTCAATGCTTCTATCTGAATCATCATAATTTCACTTTCCTACACATAACAATTTGATTCTCACTCCTCTCAAGTTATCTTCCACCATATATATCATTCAAGATCCAGACATTACAATATCCTACCCGTCCAAATTCAAACAACATATCAACAACAAAAAATCATACCAAAAATCAACGTATAAATCCATTGCCTATCAAAATCCGAACAATCGGAACATTCTCTGAACAAACTCTCAGAGACACAACCCATGCAATATGGGATACACAAGATTCACAAAAAGAAAAAAGCCGAATTCACACCACCACACCATGTGACATCTTCACGAGGATGAAGATTTAAAAAAAAAAAAAATGGTGATTGTCTTTTTTCCACAAAATTAGTTTCCAAAACAGGTTTCATTTTTTGTAACAAACTTTGCCTCCAACCCTGGCAAAGTTTGATGGAGGGTATTAACAGCAATAAAATATATGATGGAGGAAAGCAAGGAATCGTTGAAGATCAAGATAAATCATTGAAGATCAAGATGATTATGATTATGATGATGTGCTTAATTTTAGGAATTGTTATTTATCTTTACATATTTAGTTTATTGAGTTGTATTATATATTGATGGTTTCTCAATGAATAAAACAAAACTCACATTTCTATCATCTTTAGAATTTCTTCTATAACGAGAGAATGTCCAATTAAGCATCTTCCTAATCCTAAATGGAATGGAGCACATAGGAATCATAAAATAAATATATCGACTGATTATAAGTTCATAACCTTAATCTATTCCTTAGACAGCTTTTACTACACCACTATGACATTTTGAATGTTTAGTCATGTCTTTTGAATTAAAAATTGCACCCTCTATTTTCAAAGATAGATGGATAATATTTTTAGTTCTTTTCCATTTATTTGTGCATATATAGATGATATCTTGGTATATAGTAAAAATCAGAAAGAACATATGAAGCATTTAGAAATAGTTTTAAATAAGTTTATAGAAAACGGTTTAATTATAAGTAAAAAGAAAATAGAAATAAATGAACAAAAAATTGATTTTTTAGGAATAATTTTAGGAGAAGGAAAAATCCAGCTGCAACCACATATAGTACAAACAATTCTACAGTTTTCAGATAAAATGGAAGAAACTAAAAAATTATAAGCTTTTTTAGGAATTTTGAATTATGCTAGATATTTTATTAAAGATTTAAGAAAGAATGTGGGACCATTATATAGTAAGTTATCTAGTAAATGACAAAAATATTTTAATTAGTAAGATATAGAACTAGTTAGAAATATAAAAGAAGAAGTTACAAATTTACCAACATTAGAATTACTGTTAGATAGTGAATATAAAATAATAGAAATAGATAGATGTGAACTAGGATGAGGAGGAATTTTATATTCCAAATAAATATAGCGACAAAAATCAAGAAAATATTTGTAGATATTCTCGTGGAAAATATAAGATAAAAGAAAAATACTTGACTAATTTAGACTATGAAATAATGGCCATCATACATAGTATAGAAAGCTTTAAATTATTTTTAAATATCGAGTTCACAATTAGGACAGATTGTAAAGCTAGAGTAAATTTTATTAAAAGGACAAATTTTGATAAAATAAGACATAAAATGTGATTAAAATTATATGAGATATTACACTGCTATAAAATTAATATAGAACACATAGATGGAAAGAACAATATTTTGTCTAATAATTTAAGTAAATAAGTTATTAATTTTTTAACCCATTATTTTTATGATGCAGATGGATCAGAGGATGATGAAATTTGGGAATGTCATTCTAAAAGTGGCCCCACAAAGATCTAATCTCCGATTCAGAGAAGATTATTTAAAAGACAACCAGAAAGGGAGCGTTGTCTACTAGATAATCTCTGAATGGCACGTGTCTCTCAACAATAGTTAGACAGCATTAATGATTTAGCTGACCATTTTATACAGATTCACAATCAAGTAGAAAGTAAAAATTTTATTTTCTTTGCAGTAATTAAAGGTAGAAAGCGTGGAATATACAAGTAGAAAGATTTCTAGATCCCTTTTTTAAAGGATTTTACACATTACAAAAAGTTTTGAATTTCTGTAGAGAAATGATAGGATTTAACTTTCATATATCTGAAAGGGTTAGATAGACTATGACTATGCAACCTGCTATTTCTCGAGCATCATCTTCATCCTCATCAATACAACTTTGTGATAGTTGTGAAACTATGACCAAGGTTGTTAGAAAATTAAATCTTAGAAAATAGTCATTAGAAGAAAGATTACAAATCCTTGAAGACGAAATCTCTTCACTCAACAAACTATTAGTAAATATAAAAACGAGATTCTTCGATTACAAGTCAGTTTAAAAAGACTAAGTTCTAGATATTCTCCATCTCTAAAGATATTACATCTACAAGTAGAAATTATTCTAATAAAATAGAAAGACTTATTGAATTAACAGATTTTACAGCTGTAGGGCAAGAAAAGACTTTATATGAACTAGAACGAAAATTGGTCATTGTGTCAATATTGTCTAAAGTGCTATAAAAGAGTCTGGTGTACAAGAGATTATCGATTTCTCTCAAATTCTAAGCTACTATCTCGACGAAAATCGATAATTTCTTAAACATGGCCCCCCAAATATGAATCAGCTACTCATTCAGCTTTTCTCAGACCCAATTATCCCACATTTTGTTTCTATACAATCTTTGATGAAGAAGACCTTTTTATCGAGCCTTAAAGTTTGGCATGATAGGAATCATATACATTCTCAACCAATCCTTTAAATTTTTTCCACCTACAATTAAACAAATTCTTAGTCAGTTAAAGGATCACCCTTTAATTATTTTAATTCATTTCCACACCACCTCTTGTAAACAATGGTATAATTATTCCAACTTATCACCATATTTTAATATACGAAGGAGCCAAAAAATTTAAAACTTCCTCTAAAACTAATACAAAAATAAAAATTAGATAAATTGATTACTAAAGACGAATCTCAAAGACCGTGACAAT